CCCCTAAGAAAGCATATGATAGCAAAACCTTAATATATAAGGAAAACTAAAAGAATACTGATCACTTTGTTTTGATGTAATAATTTCTTGCTATTAATGGAGTACTTGCAGTTGAATAAATGAATTATATATCCTATGATTGATTTGTTTTTTTTTTTTTATGGTTTATCAACCTTTTTGAAAGTTATTTAAATCCAAAAAATACTGATATAAATCCTACTAACTAACCCTTAGCTGGGGAGAGAAGAGGTGATTTCATACCTATCCTAAGAGTATTTGTGCATAAGTGAATATAAGGAATCCAACTGGACTTGGAACTTTCTCTCTAATTTCCAATTCCAAGCTGTTATACATTACACCACCTGCATATCCAAGCTTACTGCACTTAGTATTCCCAGAGAGTCTTCCATTTTTGAAGAAAAAATATTACCGGAAATAGATTTTTTTTGAAGAAAAAATATTACCAACAATAAAATTTCTTCGGCATTAAATGACCCATTGAGGTTCATATGCTGTAAAATCAAACCAAACCAATCCAAACTCGGACGGTCTTCCATCGAGGTACTAACTATATATATATATATATATATATATATATATATAATTTTTATTCATGGGTAACATAACAAGACTGATGATTTTAACCTTAACAAAATAATACAATAAAAGCATTAAGAAGAAAATTGTTGGCTTTTTTTTTTATTTTTTTTTAATGCCAACTTAATATTTATGTATGTCATAAATCAGTATGAATGATGACTGTCGATTCACTGCAAAAGGAGTCACCAAACAGGTCTTGACAGATGAAGTGGTTGCCCTACCAACCTCTGGAAACTCAATATTACCTGCACAATTAGTCATTTATAATTTGTGCAACAGTGCACTTTTAGCATCAAACATCCTTGTTCCAATGACAAAAAACAATTGAGATAATTATAGACTGACTTTGCTGCATAAAATTTGAGTAGACTGATGGTAAGGCATAGGTAGGTTGTAAATGTCCAAATCCTATCATGATATGATTTTGCCATTATAATTATAATAATGGTATAAATCTATAACATATGTCAAAATATGTAAAAATTACTAGACTTTAATACTTTTAAAAGTGATCAGAATTTCAGTCAAGTGATCAATAGACAACTAGCATGATATTAGTTAATAAGAGTTCAATCAATGCTAGTCTCATTAGATGGTTGGATAAATTTATTGAATAATCACCAGATGGCATCTACCCTGGTGATCAGTGTGCTGCAAAACTTTGAAGCCAGTCAAGAGATAAGTTGATTGAACTTTCAGTAATTTATTCACACAGGATATATATGTAATGTTGGTGTAACAATTATAAGCATGGGCAAATTATGTTGAAATTTAAACAGTGGCTGTTTACTTTGTACTGATACATTTAGAAAATGTATGATTCTACAAGTTTGCATACACTGTTCTATCACCAGCTAGACCAGTGGATCTCAACCTTTTTTTACCCATGGACCCCTTTCCCCTTCTTTTTATCTTGGTGGACCCCTTCATAGCTATTGGACATAAGAACAATTTTCTATTCTTCACTAATATAAATTTTAAGGTTTTAATTATCAAAGAAATAGTATACGATTAAGCTTTATTTTTAAATGAAAACTAATTTAATACAAATAAAATATTCTACTATAATTATAATAATAATTATTATTACTATTTTTAATTAACACAACAATTGAGTTTTGCCTGTGGACCCCCGGAAATATTACATGGACCCCTAGGGTCCATGTAGACCCCGGTTGAGAACCACTGAGCTAGACAGACAACAAAGTATTTCATTCCTGGAATGAGTGAATATATAGGCAAACCACTCTCCCATAAGTCTTGACATTAGCATTAAAAAATCTATTAGCTTTATTGTTGTTGGCAGTCCACTTTTAGATATGTAAACGTGTGTCAGTAAAAGCATTGCTTTTGATTCAATAACCATAAATGCATACAATTATATTTACTACACTATTGTAATCTAATTAAGGTTTAGCTGGTGAATTAAGCAAAAAGATGACTAGATCTCATTTTTGTGATAGTTGTTATATCAAAATAAGATTTTAATTGATAACCGTAATCAAGAGAATTAATTTTATTCTTATAAAATACTTGAATTTAGAGAGTGCCTATAGAAAGAAGTGAAAAGATCACAACATACTTAAAGGAGGTTGACAACAGTCGCAGGTGGGAACATTTTATTAAAAATTATGCTTATAAGTCCTATAAGTACTGCAGCAGTAGGTGTGTCTAGGGCAAGGTAACCTGACAGAACCCGTCCCTCTTCATGCCGGTTTTGATTTCAGAGTTGTCCTCCTAGACTGGTTACCTTACTGAGGCTAAAAAGCCAAGCCTGTTCTATTATTTATAGGACTTTGATTTTAGTTTTCCTTCTCTTAGATTTACTACCTCCAAAAGCAAAAAGAGTAGAGTCTGCCTGACTATTAAACCCATAACTACAAGAAGGATTAGGGTGAAGAGAATGAAACAGACTTGACTAGAATTTGAACTCTGCCTGTCGGTTCCATTTTCTTTATCGATAACTATTACACCAGATTCACATCTGTAAAATTTAAGTAGTGTATATAATTTTTAAAATGTCTCTCTGCTAATATTTAAGAAATTCTCATAACAAGTCAGCTGATTTTATATCTTCTGTTGCTGGTTAGTAAAATATTAATCAAAATATCAAGACATCATCAGTTGAATAACAAGAGATATTAATTTCTTTATAGTAATAGCCATCTTGAGAATATAGTTGTTGTTGCATCAAATTAGGCATTAACTAATGATGAGAAATGCTGATTATAAACTCCTTCATTATCAGCTGATTTTACTTTGCAGATCAATCAAAATGGGAGGGTGTGTGTGTGTGTGGGGGAGATATAAGATATTCTCAGCAATTAACCTATTTTAACACCAATTGATTTTATTATTTGTACAGGTTACATCAGTAATGTTTTACCTGTATGCTTTTAAGTATTTCCTGGTGTTTTAGGATTTTCAATATTCATACTTTTCACCTCTACATCTATATAGGTATGTCCTCCACCTTTTTTAACTTTTTACAACAGATTAAAAAAAAAAAAAAAAATGTGTGTATATATATATATATATATATATATATATATATATATATATATATATATATAAAAATGCTGTTAGTGTACAAACATTTTGCCTTGATTGGAACATTGAGCATTAATCTACTTTGATGTAATCAGGTCTAAGCCAGGATCATCAGCCTTGTTATATCTTTCTGCTTACACTTCAATACCCTTCAGAATGTAACATTAGAAGCTAGCAACTGGTGTAGTCTTTAATTTATTCATGTTGTTAGCTTTTAAAGAATATTATATATCATTATTTTGAAGAAACTCATAACTTTTTACAAATTACCTATTGATCTTTTTTCACAGTTTAGTACTATCTCTGTATCAATAGTTCCTACTTTTTTTCTTTTTTTTTTTTTGTATGAAATTGGTGATAGTAGGACAAAATAATATCCAAACAAAAGTGAAGATAATAAAACAATGTGAAAAAGTTATTCATCTACATGTTTCATCCTTTAGAGTAGGTGTCCTCAGCCTGGAATATGAGACAAACTTTTGTGTGAGAAAGGAGTGTTGGGATATGGGGGAGCAGTTAATAAAGATTCTTATTAGATATTTTGCAATTAGAGTTGGTGTTTTCCCTACTGAAGACACTAATGTCTGCTAGATTTTAAATTTTGCCTACTCCAAAGTAGATCTCTTTTTTTTCCCCCTCTTAGTTCATATACCACATTGTATTACCAGTATTTTTTGTGACAATTGCTGATATTGTTGATGAGCATGGTCTAAGGTTGACCATAGAGAATTGTGAAATCAGTGGATTTTCTTTTAATCTGACTGGCATTTTTAGGTCAAAGTTGTGGTCAATCATTGATAAAGCATTGATGTACTTTATTATTCAACTGTAAACTTACAACACTAAAGAATTATTTTTTCAGTACTTTAATTTTTTAGACCAAATGTAATAGTCGCAAAATAGTAGCTTATACATTCTTTTTCTTTCTTTTTTTTTTTTAAATAATAGTCTAGGGTATCAATGCTTTTATTGTTTGTTGTACTAAACATTATCTAGAAGTAATTTTGCAAATGTAAATTCAGTTTCTTTAATTAGATTTTTTTCTCTACTGTGCTCATTCTTTCAATCTGATAAAATCCATTGAATATTAAAATTTAATTTTGACAATTATAAATTAATATTTTAAAGCAACTTTGAGAAATACTCAATATTATAGATTTAAGTTAGATTTTAGAATGAAGAAATTTTTTTTTCTTTCATACAATTCTTGTTTTCAACAAGAGATCTTGCATTATGAATATCCTCCTAGTTGTACAGCCTCATAGAGAGACCAGCTTTTGACAGAATATTTGTAGTGCCAATCAGTGTAGACTTCTGAAGCTATGGGATACTAGGCTTTATTCTGATTTTCTCAATGTATTTAATTTTTTAAGTTCAAAATGGCATAAACCTCAATGCTCAATGACACTGACTGGGGCAATTTATTTTAAAGAATGTCCTACATTCTGGCTACTCAATTGCTGACCTGTCATTGAAATTGTCAGGTTGAATGCCACTTTACTTAAAATACCTATATCCAGAAAAATAAAATCAATGAAGATAAACTCAAGAAATACACTATTTCTTGAGTTTATCAATTTCTTTGATTTTTATGGTTACTTGGAACAGACATGTGAATGAGGAGGCATTTTCTTATTTCTTTGTCAATGTTGGTGATGTTTGGTTTATTATTATTAAAGGGTAACACCAGAATGATGGACAGTGATAAAGTGCCAATAAAAAGAAACTGTTAACATGATCTTGCCTACTTTTCATTAAGACTTCATTTTTTAACAAATAAAATATTGAAACCATTGTTTAAACTTTCTTGTTACTAATGTTGCTTTATTTTTCTTCCTTTTTTGGGCAGAATGGACAAGGATGGTACCTTAAAAATCGATTGGGATGAATGGCGAGAGTATCTGCTTCTACATCCAAGCCAAAGTATCCATGATATCATTGCTTATTGGAGACACTCTACAGTAAGTTTTACTCCTCATATTTTAATTACAAACTTAAATATTTTCTTTTAATCATTTCATCCAAAGCAAGGCAATAAAGCCACTAAAACGCAATAGGTTACTGGGTGTGTGAAAAGAGAGAGAACAATAAAAGAGCAGGAATTAAGAAGACAGAAGATAACAATTGATATTGCATTTAAAATTTTTGAAGATCAAATTTAATCGGAAATCAAGAGTCCAGAAGAGGTTCACAAGTGAAAAATGCTAAAGAAAAAACTGTTAGCATAGAACTTGCTGTTACATCTAGCAATTTAAACTGTAAAATGATGAGAACTAATTGCCAATCTAGTTTTGCGTTTAAATTTATGAATTTAAATTGGCAGCTAGGTCATTTAGTAACTTACTGCTAGTAAATCTATTAGAACATTACTAACTTTTTTTTTCCCCTTGAAATTTGAGGTATTCATATTGTTGGTTAAAAATTGCCTTCTTAACCATCTACAGGACTTCTTTGAGTTTTCAATAAGCAGCAAAGCACAATTTTAAAATATTTCTTTCTGGCTTGATATCTTTGTATTTCAATTCTTGTTCACACTGGTGTGCTTGAAAACCAGGAAAGGCCCATTGTACATTCACAAGGTAAATATATTGCCACAGCAAGAAGTGAAACACTGAATCCTGTTTGCAATATATTTGATTGCTTATTCAGGGATTCAACATTGAATTTTCTAACAGTCTCTTCTGATACTTAATCTTATTCCAAGAACTTCAGTCAAATTGCTCACTGGATCTGATTTTGTTAGGATTTGCTTTTATGGCTTCAAATATCATTCATTTTGTTGACATGGTCACTAGTATCCCAAATCCTGACGCCAATGCCTTTGTCTGGTTTAGTGATAACATTATCCTTATTGCTATATAAAGACTGTAGCTTGAAAATGTTTCCTCCTCATACTGAAATCAGTGTCAAAAATGGTAGTATTATGATAGGCATTGATCTAAATCAGCTATACAAAGTTTAAATGATGAATATTCATTGAGATAAGTGGATTTATATGTTCTGAGATAGAAATAGAATGCCAATAATAATAGCTCACACTGTATATTAAGGGGAAGTATGCAGAAGTCAAGACCATGTGATATGACAAATATCTCAGTTTGAGTAAGGAAATTGAAAGATAAATTATTCAGTTAGAATTTTTGGATTTAGAAATTAATGTATTCCAAAATCATGTGAGTGGAAAGATGAATATTCAACACTTAGAATATTTAATCTGTTGTATGAAAACTTGTTGGTATAGGATTATCAATAAGGTGTTGGCCAATCACTGAATTCAAAATACTATGTGATTGTTTCAATGTTGTTGCTTGATATGATGGAAAGTGAGATATGTTGCTTGATATGATGGAAAGTGAGATATGTTGCTTGATATGATGGAAAGTGAGATATGTTGCTTGATCATGCATTCCAATGTTAGTAGATGTACACTGATATGTAAATGAATAAATAATGGAATTTTTATGGGGAAGACAATCTGATAATAAGGATGATGGGAAAACTGGTCACTTAAGAGGAATTACAAAACTTTTTTCTGTTTCATTGTTAATTTCAACATGTCCCAGTTTTTTCAAGTTATATAATAAATTTTTAAATGTGAAAAAGGTCATTGTCTTTTGTTTTTTTTTCTGATAGAATTGGCTTAATTTGGCTTCTAAATAGTTGATAAACTTCGTTTTAAGAAATGTTTACATTAATCTTGAGGACAAATTTGTTACAGACCATTTTATGAGTTTATCTCTTAAAGAAGTAGAATATCTTTTTGACTTTTCAAAGTTAGCAAAGCAAATGAAATTTGGCAAAAATAGAAAATTTTTTAAATACAATTGATTAGTTTTGATTTTTTTGCAAAAAAACAAAAAGCCACATGAAATTACTACAGGAAATAAATTTTAACCAAAAAACCTTCAGTCCTGGGTATGACAATAAACTACATCTGGCAGCAAGGCTTCTGATCAGGAGGTTTTGAGGAGTGTGGAACCACCTCAATTATTATTGTTCCTAGGTTCTCCCTGCCTTGGGCTGTTGCATTTGTTAGGGTCCCAGCTATAGGCAAATAGTTAACCCCAAAACTGGGGTCAAATTACCATGAAAATATAAAAATGGATTTTTATAGTGAAAATTACCAGCAATACTTTTTTTGAAAAAGAAATAAATATTACCAAGAATACGTTTAAAAAATTGACTCTACAAAAAACCCCTTTACAAAAGATACGTCAATGAAACCTGTTCTCATACAAACCGATTTCTTACAAAGAATACATATTCTATTCATATGAACCTATCCTAAAAATCGTGTCGGCATTAAATAACTCATTGAGGTTGATATGTAAAACAAAATAAACCAAAACCAAAAATTCTTGAGTTCTTTAATATTTTCTTTGTAAGAGTAAGAAAAAAATTGGCAATTGTATTGAAGGAGTTCTGTAAAAGTTCTTTGTCAAGCCAACATGGACTCCCTTCATTTTAATGTTTGGCATATTTCGGGAGGTGGGTTGAGCCAAGAATTTTCAGCACCCTGTCCTGTATTCTAACAGGCTATAAAGTAATTTTTAATTTGATTTTAAGAAATAACTTTTTCTATAATAATTCTTTATATTGCCATAGTATAAATGTGCTTATTTTTTAAAATTTTATTTACTTTTTTTAATTATTTCACACTAAGCAAAGCAATAAAGCCACTAAGACACAAGCGGTTACTGAGTGAAAGAATATTAGAAAAAGAAAAACATTAAGTAGAGAGAAAAATAAAAGACCAAGAATTAAGATAAAAGATACTGATTGATCTTCAAAAATTTAAATGCAAGGTCAATGTTGACTGGGAAGCAAGAAGCCAGAAGAGAGTTCCACAAGTGAGAAGTATAAGAGAAGAAACTGTTAGCATAGAATTTTAGTTTCATTTAGCAATTTCATCTGTAAAATGAAACCTAGCTACCAATCTAGTACTGTATTGAAATTCATAAAGTTGAGGTACCAAAGAGGAAAGCTCATCAAAACAATTATCATCATAATAATTATAAAAAAAGCAAGGGAACCTACATTATGGTACTGAGAAAATGACTGAAGTTGAGATACCATGTCAGGACCAATAACATTGCAGATTATTATTTGTATTAATATCTAAATTCATAGAAGCACCAGACCAGATGTGGCAGCAGTATTCAATGCATAGATGAATGGTGGTCTTATAAATGTCTACTATAGATGCTGAGGAAAAAAAATGTCCAGCATGACACAGTGAGCCAACTTTCCTAGCAGCAGAGTTAGTTATTGATGCAATATAACCTTTCCACTTCATGTCAGCAAAAGATATTAGCCTGAAAAGGTGCAATATGTCACACCTCTGGAGGTTAGGCAAAAATAAATCTTTTCTAATGCAATTAAGAGAGCAGTTCAATTTTGCAGATGTTAAAATCACCAAGCCATTTCTTGCCCCAGTTAACAACAGATTGTAGGTCATTTTTGAGATCAACTGCAAATTTGAGCATCTCAAACTGATTAGACTTACCTTTAAGACAGGCATAAATAGTTGTGTGTGTGTATATATATATATATATAATACATTTTTACATTTACCATGCTTCTGTTGCCTTTAGTCTCTTCATCTTTGAGGAGACCATCCAACATTTGCTACCATAAAGGACAGATATCACATAGCAGTTCAGTACTCTTTTCTTTGTTACCAATGAAATCATTCTGTCTTGTAATACTCTGCCTAGCTTTTGGAATGCATATTTGGCCATCCCAATACGTCTTCGAATTTCAGCTTCGCACTTACTGTCCTCTGTCAGAACACTTAAATTTCCACATCTGCTTGATTTTAGTGCCTCTGAACTGTAAATTGCATTTCGGGCTCATGTTTTTGCTGATGACCATGCATTCTATCTTCTTGTAGTTTATGCTTACTTCCTTCTCCTCACTCTCCTTCGCTATCTGCTGTAGGAGGTTTTGTACTTTCCTTTCTGTGTCTGCTATCAACACTATGTCATTTGCATATCTTATGTTGTTAAGATTGTGGCCACCAATGATGAATACTAGTAGCATTTCCAGTTCTCTCAGAATTGCTTTGCCATATAGTCTGTTGAGAAGACACATCCTTGCCTTAATCCCCTTTCTATTTTTGTATATCTGCTGAACTTGTTTCCTATCCATATGCAAGGTATTTGCTGCCACTGTAGGTTCGTGATGATTCTAATATCTTTCCTAAATATATCAAGGTTGCTGAGCAGTTCCAACAGATCTTTGTGGAGTATTTTGTGGAAAACCCTTGTGTAGTCCATAAAACCCAAGTGCATGTCCTTCTGTATTTGTATTGCTCTTTCTGATAACATTCTGAGCATGAATATTGCTTTCCTTGTTCCAGTGTCTTTAACGAACCCGCACTGTTCTTGTCCTATCTCTGCTGAAAAGTTAGGGCAATGTCTTGAGGTCAAGGTGTGAATTTAAAAAAGGTGAACCATATGTATCTAACATTATTTCACTCTTAATAATAAAAACATTAAATTCTTTTGTCATTGAACATGTTAAGTTAAATATGATTTAGAGTAATCAATGAAGAGTGTAAATTTTTTGACTGACTTCTCTCATAGAAGAGATGGCAGTTAAATTGGAATGAGAAACTTTGAGTAAGAAAATAGATATGAAAAAAAAACAGAAATATTTGAACAGGATATCTTGAAGTATTTGAGTGTCAAATTTGAGTCAAGCCTCACAAATTCAATTGATATAGGTCAAATATTTTTCCCCTAAATAGCTTATACAAACTTGGTGATGAAAACATTTTTTAAATTGATATTTTGTCAATTGTAAGCAAAAGCAAATGTCTTAATATTTTTTTTCAATATCAGAAAATATATTACATTACAGTTGAAAGGCTTTGTAAACATATGCATCTGGCACATGTCTTGGGATACGATATTGTAACAATATGCAAATTGTGATGTATCTGTCTACCACAGGTGTCATCAGTAAATTTGCCTCTTTGCCAAGATAATTGTTTGAAAGAAGGTATTTGCTTGCTTTTTTTTTTTTTTTTTTAAGCATTTCACCTCAAGCAAGGTGGGAGTACTACTAGCATGCAGCAGGTTACAGAGTAAAAAAGTGAGGGAAAAAATTGTATAAAGGGGGATTGAGGAAAAGATGAATGGGGATCAAGGCAACAGAAGATGGTGATTGATGTTGCATTTAAATTTTTAAAGATTGTAGTTATCAGGGAAGCAAGTAAGAGGAAGGGAGTTAAACTGTTGGGAAGTGTGAGAAAAGAAATTGTTAGAGTAGATTAGGTATTCAACTGTGTTGAGTGGGTTGGGTTGGGTCAGATTTTATACAAATATTCCTTGAATGTTTTTTTTTTTTTTTTTTTAATATGAATCTGTCATGGGTATTAGTGCCTACCAATATCACATCCAACAGGAGATCCACTATTGAGCCCCTTAACATTCCTGTGTTATATTTATATCAAACCCATATCCTCTTGATATCAGCTTAAATTGATGCCATCTTTTCCTCATATATTTAAACTACAATATTGGAAATTGAAAGTTTCACTGAAATATTTTAGAAAATTTTCAAATTTTCTATCTTAATTCATAAGAAAATATGAACTTTAATCACAAGGGTCAGAGTATAAGGCAAAAAGGAAATAGTGTAAACTCCTGGTGCATATATCTTGATGGGTTCTAATCTCTTATAGACATTTTATCTTGTGTACTTCAATTTTGAAATCACTCACTTGCCTTTAGTGTATTTTCTTTTTTATTTTAGTTATTTTTTTGTTTTTACATTTTCTCTTTATTTTTATAAAATAATTTTCATAAAGCTTTTTATTTATTTTTTTTTTATACCAATGCAAATCCTACTCTCCTGTTTATTTTAATTTTATTTATTATATCATAGAATTTTTTCCTGTAGAGGTTAAGCAATATACACTAGTTGTTGAGATATATAACTATTCTGGAAGGAATGTGTGAAGGAAAGTAAACAAGTAATAAGTGTGAGGTGAAGGTTGTGGGGGATGTGCAATTATAAAACTTTGGGTTAGTCATAGATAACCGTGTATATTTTAGGAATGCAATGAAATTATTTATCTCTGATTTTTAGAGAATACCACTGATTATTTTTGTGATTGTTAGCAGTTTTTCAGTATATTGTATTCAATACTTCATTCTAATAAATTATCTAAATTGAGATTTAATCACAAGTAAACTTAAAAATCCAGAAACAGTTTTTGACATGGATGACTTTGCACAGAGATAATTTTAGATTTTGCCGGGTTTTTAAACTTTACAAAATACATTAACTTAGTTTCTGTTTTTTCTACTTTCACTTACTATGACTATCCTATTTCCAGTGTATTTTATTACTTCCTGCTGTAATAGCATACTCTGTTTGTCTATTACAACTTATTAAATTATTTCTAACTTGGACACGTTTATACTATGTCAACGCAACTAACCACCTTATCTCAGGCTTTATTTGACAACATCAATCCAATTATTGTTTCTGATTACTCTCTATTACTCGTTAAGGTGATTGACATTGGTGAAAATGTTATTGTACCAGATGACTTTACTGAGAAAGAGCTGCAAACGGGGATGTGGTGGCGCCACCTGGTGGCTGGTGGTGCTGCTGGAGCTGTGTCCCGAACATGCACTGCCCCCCTTGACCGCTTGAAAGTTCTTCAGCAGGTAAGATCATTTATCACTTTTGATGACTCTGTTTGTCATTAGCATTCTACTTTACTATTACCTGGTCTGTAACGGCTGACTTACATGTCATTATCTTATATCTTTATGCCACATTTTTGTGGGTCAGTATCCCCCCCCCATGTATACCTACTGTTTACATTTGTATTATTCTAATTATACTGGATTAACGTAAGCATGAAACAGATACTTTTTTTTTTTTTTTTTTAATGAAGTATTAAAATTCTCTCACAAAATTGACATTTGCCAGAATTTGTTTCAACTCTGATATTACATCATCTGGTAGTGTACACAATTGATATATTATTTATTGTAAATGGATTTTTAAAAATAAAAACTTAGTATAAAAAAATTGAACCATAGACAAACAAAACTTGTACATATGTGAGTTTTATTTTTTCTTTCGACATTGAATTTTATCTTTTTATATTAACATTTAAATTTTGTTATATCATTTAGTAAGTATCTGATCATCATCATAGCTGTGTTTATTGTTGTTGAGGCAGAACCAGGATTAACTTTGCACAAAGCAAGGTGGGTCCCTGCTTGACAGAATATCTTGGTTGACCTTTTCACATATCTATATCAATTTACGTGACTGAGTCATAATTTGAGTTAAGGCTTGAGACCCTGTTCTAGCCTTTTTATATATATATATATATATATATATATATGTGTGTATGTAAAAATTTCTCAGAATTAACCTATAGAAAAAGACCATGTATTAAGGAAAAAGACAATAGGCAAACTGTTGTTTTAGCCGAAACGTTTCATCCAATGTTGACTTCAAAATGAATTTATTGAAACAAAATATCTATAAACAAACAATGTCGTTAGCAACTAGAAGAATTTAGAAATGCTATTGTATATTCATATGGTCAACTGAAAAATTATGTCAATTACTTTGAAGAAAATATTTTCACATGTAGAAATATTGTTTGTATTATGTTGTCGAATTCAACCATTTTCTTTTGATTTCTTGATATATTTGTTGTGTACATTGGCTTTTTTCTTAATACATACATACATACATATATATATGTATATATAATTAAGTATACATGTTACCGACATAACTAACATATATAATTAAGTATACATGTTACCTGCATAACTACATATATAAACTATACAGATTACGTATATCAGTACAACTGACATAGGTAATATGTATAGTTAATTATATATTTTATAGCTCCGTTACACTACACTGAGCAATGTTTTGATTACCCCAAAAATTAAATAAACATTTGCAAATCTGTATATGACACACAAATTTATAGTTGCTCATACTTCTTTTTTTAATTCAAATATATATATATATATATGGCAGAGAAAAATGTATGGCCAAATGGAAAAAGTTTTCTTGTGATGTGTTTCCTTCTTTAGGACTTCATCGGACTAAATTTGTTTATGTTGGTGCAACTACACATATGCATGAACCAGGAATTCTGGGAATTTTGAATAAAATTATTTTTTATCTAGTCAATTTCATTTAAATTCTTTTCCTTTCCATCACTTTTGTTATTAGATATCCTACACTGATAATAGAAATTCTTCCAGGAAGGGTGAAATGTTGTAAGAGCCAGGGGACAAATTTACTGTAGATATCCTTGTGATCAAGGTACTCTCTAGACATTTTTGTCATAGTGCATTGTTTTCTCCTTTGATCAGTGTAACATGTATTGTTATCTTTATACATACCTCCAATGGTTTACTAAAAAATTTAGCATACAAAAATACCCCAAAATTAATAAAAACAATGTTTGTCAAAATATTTATTAAGAGAATGAGCAAAGGATTTTTTGATTATTAAATTTTATTTTTTGATCCTTTTTAGAATGTTCAAATTTTTTTTTTTTAAATCTGTTACTCCCTACTTATTTAATTCCTTAAATTTCGAGAAATTAAATATTGTAGCACTTAATGTTTATATTATTTTATGCTGAACTCCTTGGAGAATTTAAATCCTCTATATTTGTTTTCTAAAACAGGACCCCCAGTTACTGAAAATCTGCTCTGAATCTTAAAAAAAATGCAATAAAACTAATATATCATTTAATTAGAAAAGCTTTTAATTGCTTTTATGAATAACATAAATTATCGACATTATTGTTTTAAGAAAAAAAAAATTTTGATGAATAATGAATTTTTACAAGAATTGTTTTCATTTTTTTAAGTTTTAATTAGAATAATTTATAAATTTTTAAAATTCTGTCTTAGTAGCAGATAACTGATATTGTTATTAATTAAAAACTAGATTTAATAATCATAAATGGAAAAGCTTTCTACAATTTATCAACACCCACTATTTTAAAAACAATTTTGAATTTTTTTTTTGTGTGTATAAATGTGTCAATATGGACATCTATACATGATGTCAGAAAATAAGAGAGATAAATATATTAAATTTAAATCCAATGTACCTAAAATTCAATGAAATATTAGATTACGGAAAATATTTTTCTAAATTCTTAAGATTACTGGGTAGTTAAAGATTATGTAAAAAAAAGGTGCTCATGTTATATTCCTCAAATAATTTTTACAGATATATTCTCGATAGAATAAAATTAGGTAAACTTTCGTCTGTCAGTTAATCTGTCAACACCTTAAACAGCTACTGCTATGTTAAAATATGCATTTCTGTGATATTTTAAACTTAAAGTAATATTTCTTTCAAATCAGATTAATTAAACATTAAATCAGTTAATATTAAAATTTCAGAAAAGTATATTTTATTTTTGAAAGATTTTTTAATAAAGACAATTATATCATGATGGCTAAAAATGGCACTAAAATCTGCTATTTAATTTTGTTTTGAAACAGAGCAAAGTATTTTTCTTATTGGAAATATTAAATTTAATCAATTAGATTGAAATGAAAACTCAAAGAAAAGCATCAAGAAAGATTTTTCATTTTTATAAATTCATTTTAAACCTTAAACCCAAGTACTTTCAATCTCATCCAAGATCATCTTCAGGAGTGAATTGCTAAGACAAAGAATTAATGCAATTTATAGTTGTGAATTTTTTTTGTAAATTCACATGAAATGCGCTCTTTTATAATTATAAACATGGTCTGTAATAGTCAATTTAAAAATCAACTGTTAAGAATAATATGCATGTAAGGGAGGTAACTTAATTTATATTTTTTTATTATTTTTGAAAATACTCAACCTGCAATTTTTTAAATCCTCAACTTGCAAAATTTGGGTATCCCAAAACATGCTTTTATGGGCATTCGAAAACATTGTTGCTATACTCATAATTAATCCTATTTAGTGTTAGTTGTATTTTTCTTATATAGAGGACTTCAAGAATTTGAAGTTTTTGTTCTTTTATTTTCATTCTAGAGTATACTTGTATTGTCAGTTAATATTTCTCTAAAACGTGAATGTAATCAGGAATATTCCTTTAAATGTTAAATAGAACTTGAATCTGACATATGTAAGTCTCCTTGATAATATATATATATATAAGAATAATTAAGAAAACATTAAAAATCCTTAGTCAGTAATAAATTTATTTCCATTAATATGAGTATAAGAAGCTCATCTGCCCTTTGGAGGTCTTATTTTTCATCCTGTGGGGTGAAATGCTACCCTCCACACCAGTAGGAAGGTTTAGACACTAATTTAGAAGTTGTTAATTACAGAAATGTTCAGCATTTAGAAATTATCAAACATTATCTATTTCTCTGAAAAGTTACAGATATAAATATGCTCATAAAATTATATATTGTTGAATTGATGCTGCACTATTTGAGATTATGTTCAAATCTCTTTATTAGAGCTAATGAATGGTAATATTAAGTTTCCTCATAACAAAGCATTCAGCATTCATTGATTGAGCAACCATTGACACTGTTGGTGGAAATTTATAAAATCTTTCTCTTCAAACAATTCTTTAGGAAAATAAGTTTCTCATGTCCAGTAGCTGTTATTGCTCTTTCTAGTTATTGAGGTTGGGAGGTTACTTCCTTGTCTTTTGTTTGGGGTAGAGTGGAATGTCATCATGATGATTTTGTCATTATTCTCTCTTCAAGTTACAGGTGCTATACATTTTAGTTATTGCTGCTGTTGAAAGTACTCAAGTGATGTGGTTTCTGTTATCTGGTAAAGTTCTTTGTTTGTGTCTCTGTAATGACAGTCTAAGAGAGATGGTCCTCACTGAGGCCTGCACACTCCACTTGCTCAAAGCCATTTTTGACCATCAATCTGAGAATGTGGCTGTGTATAGCTGACAGTTTAGATACTTCTGAACGGGTTTGGCCCTATACATGGCGCCCAACTGAAAGTCTTTTGATTTGACAAAGGCTATTTAAGAACATTAATTTCATTTTTAGGTTAGTATTTTAGTTTTGTAGTAAGTTGCAGTGTTAGACAAAATTACCTCTGCACAACCTGTGGTATATTCAATTCCTTAACTCCTATACTAAATTTGTTACAACTGGTCCATACACCACAGTATTAATACTAATTCCACATCCTGGTTTTTTATGAAGGATTCAGGGTATGCACTATCACTGCATTTATTCTAATTCCAGAAAATTGTTTCTCTTTTGGAAAGGTTTGCCTTGAGTCCAACATCTTGAAATACATTGTAGAAGATACTGATTTGTTTTTTCAAGCAGGTTATTTGTCTGAGAATTCCATAATTCTTCATTATAATGAAAAGTCTTTTGATTTAAAAAAAAATTTCTTTAAACAATTCTTTTGATACAAATATTTCAAGTTTTATATTCAAAGAGTTGATTGGACTGTTGAAACTTATTTTTTATGTTGCTTTCTACTCACCATTGTTTATTACCTTTGTATATTACGCTGTTTGATTTCTAATTTGTTTATGTCATCATAATATATGAAAATGATATTTGAAGTCCTTCTCATTATTAGGTTTTTAAGTATTTTCTATTCATCATTATTGTACTCTGCTCTTTCATGAAGCCAATTGTTCACCTCTATGCTTTATAAATATTTCCAT